CAAAACACTGTCCACAAGGAAGTGTACAGCCCGCCAGCTACAGACAGCAATGCCGCGGATTACGCTTACGATCAGATTGAAGAGAAGAGGTTGATTCGCAAAGTCGATTGGAGACTTCTACCAATCTTGGGCGCGCTTTACTCTATCGCGCTGATAGATCGCACGAACGTGAGTTCAAATCCTTTTCTAGTCCCCGTGTTCAGGGAAACTTTGCTGAGAAGAGAATTGACAGATTTCCAATGCGCGTGTTGCTGGAATGGGGACAGATCTTGACCTCCAGATCGGTGATCGATATACCATCGTCTTGGTCCTCTTCTTTCCTACGTACTTCCTGCTCGAACTTCCGTCTAACATCGTCCTTCGAAAAGTTGGGAGTGCCAACTGGCTGGCCTTTATCGCTGTGTCGTGGGGCGCTGTCATGATAGGGCAGGGCTTCGTCGAGAGTTGGATATCGCTCGCCATATGCCGTGTGTTGCTCGGAGCGTTCGAGGCGGGCTTCTTCCCCGGATGTGTATATCTCATCACTTGCTGGTACCGTCGCTATGAAACACAAAAGCGGTATGCGACCCGCATCAAACCGTATCATGGTAGCAGTAGCTTACAGGACACGCAGACTTGGTGGCTTCTATCTCTTCTCAGTCGGTATTGGTGGTCTTGCAAACATCCTTGCATACGGCCTCATGCAGATGGAAGGTGTCGGTGGTATTCGGGGCTGGAGATGGTAATATATACCCTATACAAATTGTATGCGAGATATGTACTGACTTCACATACTCAAATTTTAGGATATTCATAATCGAAGGGATCATCACCTGTCTAGTTGCAATCGCAGCCTGGTTCATCATCTTGGACTTTCCCGATAAAGCCGAGAAGAAAGGTTTTCTCACCTCCACCGAGGCCGCTGTTATCATGCAGCGTATTGAAGACGATCGTGGCGACTCAGTAGCGGATCCTCTGACCTGGGCTAAGTTCTTCCAACATCTAAAGGACCTGAGGCTTTGGGCGTACGCCACGCTCTTCATGTCGACGACAATGCCCGCATACGCCTTCAGTTACTTCCTCCCCGTCATCCTCCTCGGCATGGGCTACTCTGCTGGGCAAGCCAACGCCCTTTCAGCGCCTCCCAGTTTGTTCGCGATGATCACAGCGTTCGGGTTCGCATGGCTAGGGGATAAGTACCGTGTGCGTGCTCCCGTTATCGCCGCTCAATCAGTCCTTGCCATCATCGGTCTCATGATTGTTGCATACGCCGAGAACAATGGGGCAAGGTACTTTGGCTCATTCCTCGGGGTATGTGGCTGCCAGGGCAACGTCCCGGCTATCCTTGCGTATCAGAGCAACAATATTCGAGGCCAAAGTAAGCGGTCCGTTGGAAGCGCTCTTCAGATTGGCTTCGGTGCAATTGGCGGCATCCTCGCGTCGACGACGTTCAAGCAAACGGAGGCACCCACATACATTACTGGGCTTTGGGTGACAACCGGTCTCCAAATCTACATCTTGTTGGTGCTGTGCTGCACTACTACGTATTTTGTGAAGAGAAATAAGGTGGTTGATCGACAGAGAGCGAACGGCGAGCCTATGGACGAAAATGAAGGGCAGGCTGGGTTCCGGTATACTATATAGGCCACCAAGGGTGACCAAGGCGTCTGACCGTACTCTTTCCGCAGTGCGTCTTGATATTGCAGTCTTTTCACGGTTGCTCTCAATCGTCTCAACGCATCGCTAGCTTTCAATCATACCTTCAACAGCTATATGATCTTGGCCGATTCACATTCAACGCGCACAGGTTACCAAAATCGACTTTGGAAAGATGGTGAGCTTGAACATGGAACTTTGCCATATACGGAGTAGGGCGGCGCGATAATGACGTTTACCGCCGGACCCTGTTTGTCGCGTCACACCCATGCTTTTGTTTCAGCGCCAGCGCTGAAGATAGTAGCGCCTCAGTCAGCAACGCAATATGCATCAGCTACTCGCCCTGCAGCTTCGCGGTTCGCACATATTCTCCCTTTTATTTTCTTCCTTTGACATCCTGTGAAGACACTGATACCCACCTTGTATAACACGTAGTAATCGTAGTCGTTAATCGTCATCTTCAATACCTCGCAGCTGGTCTCGAAAACACCATCCTTTCTATACCGCCAGTCTTACTAGTCCGACGAGCACGAGTTCTGGTCTCCTAAACCTCGTCCTCTTTGCGCCTCGAGAAACGCGCTTCCACAATGAGCGCAAAACACAACCTACACGTGGCGCACCACATCCCACCTCACATGTCCCCCGCCTGGGTCATCGCCGCGTTGCACGACCACGAGACAGCCCTCACGCTCCAAGCCCTTACCTGCGGGCACGAGAAAGCGCCCAGCACTGCCCCCTCGACCCTCAAAGACACGTACTGGTACCCGCCCGACCAATACCCCATCACGACATACCACGTCACCGAGTGCATAACCTTGTTTCCCGGTATTGGGCAGTATGGGAAGAAGTACATTACCTTCCCAAGTTGCTTCCAGGACACCAGGCAGGGCATAAAGACGCGCGCTGATGCAGCGGCAGGCGTGATAGTCAGGGCCGAGTTTAGAGTCGTTGCAAACGGCGAGGCGGGCAGCGAGGTTGAGGGCGAGGGCATGGGCGTGGGCGATGCGCAATGGGTGCTCGTAGAAGACGTCGAAGTTAGCTGCGCATGGTGGCTAATGCCGTTTGTCAAGGGCAAGATGGAGCAAGCCCACCGCGATGTCTGCAGGAAGGTCATCGAGAAAACGGACAAGCTGAGAAGCACGGGCTGGGTGGGCAGAGACTCTGTCGCATTCGGAGAGCATGGTGTTGTGAGCAGACAGGACAGCAAGGTCGAAGGCACTGAAGACGTAAACACAGGCTTTGCGCAGGAAACGAGGCAGCACTATGCGAAGCCACAACCTGTCGTATTTGGACAAACACATCAGGACATTTCAGGGCCCGTCGAGGCGGATGCGATAGAGTCGCAGCGGACGGACACGGTAGCAGGGCCATTGCCGGACAAGATCACATACCGGTAATATCCGCTCGCAACGCAAAGAAACTACAAAAGTTGCTGCAGCTCTACTGAAGTGCAATCAAGCCATGGGTCTGAATTTTGGCATTAAACACAAAGTGGAGACAGGAAGCCCAAGGTAGTCGACGCATTGCTGCATCAGGTACGCCGGAGCTATTGATAAGACTTCGTCCTACGGCATGAGCAGTTTAAGGCTTTTCTGCAGAAAAAAAAAGAATGTCCCGCCTCGACACGAACAGATTTCAGGCTAGGACCGACTTGCGCGTCATCAGACCTACGACGATGTGACGCTCTTTGGCAAACTAACTACGCCTGTGCCTCGAAATCACATTTCTCCCTCTCTGAATCCGCTTGATAACTCAATACAGAGTTCTGGTGATGCTTCTCATTGCAGCCCTTCTTACTCTCTTAGTATACCTCTCAAGTCGATCTACCAAAAAAAACATTGTAGCATTTTACGAAATACTCGCCATATATATCACAGGAGACGCAGCGTCAGCCCAATTTACAGAGGAGGGAATGAGATCCCCAGTTTGGCAAGAGTTTGTATTGAGGCCAAATGACATGTGTATTAACGAATAGTCTTTCTTCATAGATTTGCGTTTTGCATTCTCTTCCTGCTCTTCTTTGATCTCTCATATATGGCCATGGGAAACGTGCTGTCTTCCGTCGTCCAGAAATCTTCATCAACAACTGGTCTTCTCCGATATGATCCCAAGCCATTCTTCACTATTTCTTCTACCTCCATCCGCTCAGCACTCTGTTTTGGCCATTTATGTAACAACGCATCGAAGTCATCTCCAAATAGATATTGCACCGACCTTTCGTCTCCCAATAGCTGTCCATATGCTTCCAGGGTTAGGAATGGTGAATATACCAATGTTGAAGTATCGAGAACAATCGAGGCCTCGCCAAGCTCCGAACCGGAAGGCGTTCGAAGGATTCGGATACCCAAGTTTTCTAAGAACGACTCATCTTTTCTCGTGAATGTTGGGTCTTGGGCGTACACTTGTATCGATATGTCCAGTCTCTGCCGCAGGATGTCTCGGATTGCTAACAAGATGACGAGTTGCTTCAACCTCCTTGACTGTCCCTTAGCAACCAGAAGACTACCTAGACCAAGCGATAAAACCTTCGTGATTGGTCCCTGGGCGTTCTTCAACATCGCTGACAGCTGCCGGTGGATGGTTTGCGCTAGTCGCGAGTCTTCGTAGTGTGATTGGTATCGATCTAGCTGAACTGATAGGGATCTCGCCTCGCGACTCTGCGGCTTTGGTTTCAGTTTGGAACGTATGTGAAGGTTGGGCGAGATATCGACGACGTCGGCGATAGCGTGAGGCATCTTGAATCGTCAAGATATCACTGCAGGTACCTGGAAAACGGTCTTATGCAGGAGTAGTCGTGATCACAAGTGCTTATCGGAGTGGGTACTGAATATCAGAGAGTATGCGGAGGTCCGATGAATGTGCCGTGGTATCGCCATGATTGTGGGATGTCTCATCTAATATATCAATTTCGTTGACTATGGTCACCAATGCACAGTTCAATAGATTTCAAATGTGCAACATTAGGCATCCTCAATTCGCTGCTTCGGCGTTCGTAGTAACCATCCGCGCACCGAGATGAGTAATGAGTAGGAAATTGCACAGTGCTGTGCACATTTGTAATGAGATATGTCTGCCGGCCGTACCAAGGAAAAGGTCACCAGAACAGGTGATAAATTCATTGCACGACAGTATTCGAAAACGCGGTTACTGTACGTCTGGTGTAAGAAATGAACGACCGAAATAGAAGGCAGGTTGGAGACGGGGTGCTGGTCAGAGACTAATCCAAAAGCAGTAAGAACGCTAGCAGCCGCTCTCCGAAGGGTCTTTACGCTCGCATGATCTTACCTTTTGCCACTACACAGTGCAGCGCACTCCATCGCAGAAACTGCTTGGTTATTCTCCACGGTAGTAGCAGGCTGAAGAATCTATAAGGGCATGATCTCAGGTTTCGGTCCTGCAGGTACGATCTTCGCCTTCGTAGCATTCGAGTATCCCTCCTTGTACTAGAAGTGAGTTAGCAACAAGTACCTGTCTCGCTCGTCTATATACCTACCGCTTGAAAGTCAACTGTCTTCTTGAAAGCACCGTAGTTTGTCGCTTCACTCTCATCCCAGTACAACCTGCGCAGCCAATCGTGGAGCTGCGGGTATTCATACCGGATCATCTTTAGGTTGCATTTGAAGATTGTGAAGTATGCAACATCGAATCTGATGAGTGTGGGATACAACCTGATATCTGCCTCAGTGATGTGATCGCCGAACAAATACGGCCCATGGCCTGATTGGCAAAGGTGTTCCTCCAAGCGATCGAGAGACTCGAAAACGGGGTAGACATGCTCTTCGTATGCCTCCTGACTCTGCGCAAAACCAGTCTTATATACCTAATGTAGATTCATGATTTCAGTGTATGTTTCACATGCAGTTCGTACAGGGATTCTGCTTACGCCATTGTTAACCGTATCGTACACCCACTCGTTCATGGCGTCGATATCCTTGCGCAAGTGGTCTGGCAAGATAGCTTTGTCGCCCTTACTAGACTCTCGGAGATGTTCTGGGATGAGCGCATCGAACTCGGTATAAAACATCCGGATGATCTCACTAGACTCATTGTTTACAATTGTTTCTGCAAGCAAGTCAGTGCATATTGATCTTGCGTCGGAACCCTTGAATCTCACGTCTTTTCTTATCCCACAGCGTTGGGACGAGGTAGCGCCCTTCGTAGTCCGGATTGGCCCTTTCGTACAGCTGCCTCAAGTTCGTATAACCATAGAGTGGCTCTTTCTCGAACCCGGGTTTGCCGGACATACCCCATCCCTTCTTCTCATGTACCAGGGAGGTATCCCACACAATCAACTGCACAACCTGCTCAAGTCCTTTCAAACTGCGCACCAAGTTCGTACGATGCGCCCAAGGACAGCCCATGTGGATGTAAAGGGCATATCGATCTTTCTCTGCTGGGAACTCCGAGTTTGGATCAGAAGAGATGAGGCTGCGGAACGCTGAGGGTTTCCGACGAAATTGGCCGTCTTTCTCAGCAAAATCATGGCTGGTGCTCTTGCAAGTGTTAGCGGTCAGGGCTAGTCTAGTACAATCCCTGGGGTCGTCATGGTAACTGCAATGCTTAGAGACGGGAACTCAATCTTACAGATGGAGACATCTTCGCGATCTTCTTGAGGGAGTATCTTGATGCCAGGAGCTGCCTCCTACACGTTGATGGAGAAGTCAGACTGCCGACAACGATGACGCTGACGGACGGCACGGGGATAAAAGACGGAATTTTGTCCGGCACCTGAAGCGCGACGCCCAAACGTGCTTCGTAATCAACGCTTCTGCATATTGAGAACATCGCGTATCTTCTAAAGTGACACTCATAGATGGCTTTGTTTTGTCTTCAAGCGTTCAGAAATCATATAGAGTTAAATTGTGGACACTACATACAGTACGTCCGTAGCTTTGTCTCTTAGACAGAACTGAAATACATGGAAGTATAACTCGGTTTGCAGAGCGATTATGTAGCGTAAAATCAAGCCCTGCAACAGTAAACACTGGTTTGCCCAATCAACCCGTCAGGGGCTCGACACCAGCTTCAAGCTTTGCAAGATACGTGCTACAAAGACTGCCTTCCCGCCAAACACCGCGGATATTTAGAGTCGCATCAATGTCTTCAAGTGGGTTTCCTTCTACCAGTAACAAATCTGCGTTCAGCCCCTCAGCCAGGCGACCGCGATCCGTGAATTTGAAGCGTTTGGCGATCAAGCTTGTGGCCGAGCGCAAAGCCTCGGCAGGTGTCATGTCAACCTTGTTTACGAGAAGGTACAATTCGTGATGCATCGACAGGCCAAATGCCGTCCCTACTGCAGGACCCGCGGAATCACTTCCACTAAATTTTGTGAGCAATTTGAACTTCTGGGTATAAGGGTATCACTTACCACACAATGTCGACCCCCGCTTCTCTCAATCTTTTCACGCCTTGATATGCGATCTCCACTTTCCCTTTCCCAGCAGCAAAGCCCATGCACCTGCACATGTTGCCTACACGATCTTCGTTGATCAATCCTTCCACCCTGGGATCATGTGCAAATCGATGCTGCAGCTCTTTTCCCTCAGTCGTCAGACTGCCTATCGCAGCAAGTGTCGGGTTGACCCATGCGTTGTTTCTTTTGTATGCATCTACTAGCTCTTGGGTCGGCAGCTGGTCGAGGAACGTATGTGTGAGACCGTCGACACCTGCATTGAGAACATCGAGTGTATCTTGCATGGATAGAGCATGTGCAACGGTCAAGTATCCCCGCTTCTTGGCCTCTGAAATGATCGTGCTTTGCAGTTCGACCGAGGGATAGCTAAAGTTCTGATCCATGGCAGTTCCGCTCTCGTGCATGAGTTTGATGTAATCTGGTTGCATCTCTCTCCCAGTCCATTCTAGATACTCCACCACGCTATCCCGATCCGTCAGTTTTGGCCATTTCGCAATCGCCGCTGCGGTCTCTGGAGTCTTGTCATGGGCTGTGATGACAGGTATAGGCCAGCCATTCTCAATAGTAGCAGCCTGGCCTGCTGTCTTGTACGAAGCGGTGTCGGGTTCCATGGTCTGCTTTTTCAGCTTTTGTACGTTTTCTAACTCGTTGTGCATGTCGCACACGGTAGTCACACCAAAGCGTAGAGCTTGAGGCAGGGCTTCTGGATCGGCCTTGTCTGCATGGATGTGACAGTCAATCAACCCTGGAAGAACAGTATGTCCTGGTCTGGAGTAGGTTTTTACTGGATCGAGCGGCGCATCACTCGTCCGACCGAGGGCCTTGATCTTGCCATTTTGTACATGAATGAACCCTTCGTCGATGGTCTCTTCGCCAGTAAAGATGCGGATATCGCGGAGGAGGAATGTAGTCATATTTTCAGGCGTCGTTGAAGTTCGAAGTGATGTCTGGACAAGGGATTACGTTGTTGCTATGCTTTGCTACTGATGCTGACCGGTCTTCATAAAAGCAGTGGTCAATACCTGCCTGGCATGGGCTGTAAACTGATGGAGGCCTGAAGTTTTGTGGGGTTTCCTGGCCGTGAGTAAGACGGAACAATTCGCATCGCTGTATTGTACACATTGCTTATGTAAAAGATTGCGCCTAGGTCAGGCCGCTGCATGCGATGTCTGCCTGTATGGGGTCGTTGCATTAGCGTTCAGATACAGCCCGCGTACTATGGATAGAAGGGGTTTCAGGCCCGCGAGACTAGTACCGTAAAGCAGTATATCGTATCGCAGGATTCTCATGATAGCATCTTCTGATGTGTTCGTAGACAGGATGAGCGCGATAGCTGTGTCGTCATTACTCGTTATCGCAGACTCCCGATTCGGTCAGCACCGTGGAGAGCCGAAGCCGAGCCACCGCAGCCTAAGGGGCTGCAAGAGCTGGGACAATATCGATGCAGGCGTAGCCATTAACATAAGCTGCTTCTCGGAAGAGCGTTGTGCCGCTGCGGTGGTTTGCCCACAAGCGGCCATGGCATGCATGCATACCAGGCGGGGAAGATCGAGACGCGTCGCGTTCTTACCGGTTAGTGTCAAGGCGCTTCCCGCAGTCAGCACCATTCTTGCTTCTTTCACTCAACAATCTGCTGTTACATCGCCAGGCCAATGACTAGCATCTAGATCTTTTCGTTCACTTATCAGTGCAACAGTATCGCACTCTCCGTGATGCTCATCCGCCGGGGGTTAGAGCTGTATATCTTGCACTCAAACAACGCTGAATCGATGTCTACTACGGACCACGCCCTTCGAGCTACAATTGCGGAAGATCAACAATTCAAGCGCTTGATTGACTGTCGGTAGCAGGGAGGAATCTTCTAATAGCAGATCCAGCAATGCAATACCAGGCTGCGAAATACTATGGATGCGGAACGCTAGATTGTCATGATTGAAAAACACTCCAGTCGCTCAGGCCGTTTTGCATAGCATACATCAAGACAGGAGAGTCTGTTGAAGAGAATGGTGTGATATCTCAGTAATCAAGCACCGAAAAAGCTAAACTACGACCTGCGATGCTAATCTACATCAGACCGAAACTACACTGACTCGGCTAAGTCAGGAAATCCTAGAAGCATACGAAAGCCCAAGTTTCCTTTGGATTACAAGTTCATGCGAAGACATGGAGACGCAATCCATGATGCTGTGGCCCAAATGCGGCATGATGACCGCGACCACGAGAACGAGAGAATGCCTGCGGGAAGGACAGTGACCGTCCAACCCTAGAAAGGTAGATGGTGGATTGAAGCCACATCGAGGGCCTTGGAGCGTGGTTTTTTGGCTATGACGCAACGCAAGGTTCGTCGGTAGTTGAAACGAACGACCCACTCCCACAGACCAACAGCAAGTTCTAGTCGTGAAACACACGACATTGATACCAGGGTCGGAGTGAGCTTGCGCGAGAATTTCCACCTCTGAGACGATGCGTGACTGTGTCAAAACGCTCCACATATACACGAACTCCACCAATGCATCGGAGATTTACTAAATATCCCGAGCTCGAGTTTTAAAGAATGGTCTGAGGGCTCAAAGTCTGGTCGGATGCATTGCACCGATGTTCGAGGGTACGATGGATTTCGTATGACAGGAACAAGAGGCCTGTCTACCAACTCCACCTCTGCCAGTTTTGAGAATTGTTGTAAGACCATAAAAGGTTGGATATGTGTAAGCTTCAAGGGCCATCACTCTCTTGCTATCTGTACCACCACACCACTAAGCAATACTTTCACAACACACGATACGTCACTCGCTACAAATAACAAATCAAGATGCCATCTTCACGCCAAATTCTCTCTGTCCTCACCACTGCTGTGCTCACATCTTCGGTGAACGCGGCATTCGGACCAGCCTTTAGCACCGGCCCTGTTGGTGCTGGCTCTTGGATCCGTGAAGCCAACTCGACACTCGTACTCCCGAAGGCTCCAACTGGATCGTCAGGTGATACCGCACTATGGGTTGGAATGGGAACTTCGAATGGTGACCTAATCCAATCCATCGCGGACAATGTCAACGCAAATGACTGGGACATATACGCCTACACGCTCGTGAGCACATCTGAGACCACTCAAATGCCGATTCAGGCGAAAGGAGAGAGGGCACAAGAGGCCGACAAGATTACCATGTACTGTGAGTAGTTGGGATTGTTTTCATTCTGCTTTCCAGTCACTGATGATGTATTACAGACAAGTTTGACGACGCAACCGGCAACTATACACAGATTGTTTCAGTTAACGGCCGACAAGTGTCCACGCTGTCAACCGACGACGGCCAGGCTATGGGATGGGGCAGCGCTGTCGAGTGTGCTGCGGAGGACTGCGGTACCGTTGCGGCACACAAATGGATTGATACTACAATCACACTGGACAAGGCGGATCCCAACTACGACCAGACCATGGGAAAAGCTCAAGGTGTCACTGGCGAGATGTCGACAAGTGATGGTGGTGTGACATGGACAATCACAGACATTGAAATTCCCGAATTCACCTTCGGCTCGTCCTAGAGTTAGAAAGAGTTCAAATCTAGAGCTCAAGTGGTTTTATATGAACGTATTGCCCCTGTAAGGCTCGTTACTAGTTTTTTCAGCGCGCCAGCACCGCTTTGCGTGAAGTCTGGAACATCCGTAAGCAAACAAGCACACCTGATGGTGTTGAACTCGTGATTCTGAGGTACCACAGTTGCGAGCGTCACTATGAGGGAAAGACGCGTATCTGTGGAACGGAAGCAAAGCCGCGCAACGCCAAGCGCCCCACCAACGCGACGGAGCGTGTCTCCAGTTCGTCATGACTCCGGCATCGCTCTATCCATCAACACTCTCCTTTTTGAACATACAAGCCTTGTGTGGCTTCGATGCTGCACACTCGTTCTGCGGCTGCCCACGATGGTGGTTTTAGTTGATCTGGACGACGATGAGCCGACCTCATTAGAGAATCCCCACCCGTCTTCTGGTCGGTTTAACGCTAAGCCGTTGTATCACTCTCTTGATGCGCCGACAGAAGGGAGCATGACGGCGGGCTACGAGAGGCCGAACCCGAATATCAATGGATTCAGCCAGGCACTGAGCTGCTATCCGTTCGTGAGCTCCAGCCATAGCATGGACTTGACTCCACGCCTTGATGTATGCTAACCACATTAACCACACAGAATAGTGAGCCAGCTCGCCGCTCAGCTCGATCTCAACACGCTGCATGACCTCTCGCGCACTTGCAGGCAGTTCCGGGCCAACCTACTCGAGTATCGCAGCCAACTTGTCAAGCACACACTTCATTGCGAGAATGAAGACGGCGAAGTCGGCGAGAAGCTGGAGTCGCGACTGCAAGAGGGGCGACACGGTATGGTCCTGGAGAATAGACTGACGACTGGTCGCGTCGGGAAGTGCGCACGCGATATGGTGGGCGACTGTCAGCGGTGTGGAGATATCGTTTGCCGAGTATGACGCTCGAACATACAGGGAGAGGCTTGAAGCTAACGGGCCTCGTAGAACTGCACCATGAAACCTCCACCAACGCCTACACTTCGCGCGCGCCATCGTCGACTATGCCGGACATGCGCCAAAGCGCCCCTCCCGTTGCTGATGGCTGCACAAAAGCAGCGCACCTCGTCAATGTCGTCGTCGTCGCCACCTGGGTCCCCCGACACACACCCAGTGCTCTTTGACGGTGACAAGCCGAGAGCCTTCACAGCCCCAGCTTTCGAACGTACGCCCTGCAATTGCGACAATGTGGTCTGGCTTTGCGCGCCATGTGGCAAGGACCTGCGAAATGCAGACACCCACTATGTCCGCGGTTGGAGCTACCGCACGACGTACACCCGCATGCTGGGCGGCTTAGGCGTTGGGTTTGGCGAGGGGATCGAGGGCGTAGAGTGCGGGCGAGGCAGTGCGTGCTTGGGTTCACGGATTGTCGAGCACGAGACCTGCGAGCAGAACCTCTTGGACACTATCGAGAGATCGCAAACTCCAGAGTCGCCCGAACGCTGGAGGGGTTCTTGCTACCTCACTCAGGAGATTGAAGGCATTGGCGGGGTACTAAAAGTCAAACACAAGAAACAGGTGCGCGTTGGAGAGTGTGTCAAGCTATACGAAGATGAGAAGACCAAGTCGATCCAATATCTCGAGCGCGAGGTCAAAGGTGAGCTCAGAAGCTGGTGCTCCTGGTGTGAGCGTGTCGTCCGGAGCAAGAAGGACGAGGCCGAGGTTGCTGGCAACAGACCCACGTCAAGTGGCTCAAGCTCATCTTCATCTAGCAAGCGAAAATCCTCGTACTAGGTAATGATATGTGTTTTTTGTAGCCACATGAAACTTCCTAGAAGCAACAGCTTGAGACGAGCTTTCACCAATCGAACTCATATGCTGAAGCCTGATCCCAAAGCATCTGCCCAATCCCACAGCAAGCCCTGATCAAGATCCATTGTAAGCTCCATGTTGTACTGAGATGTCTCCAAATCAGCGAACAAATGATCCTGTCCTTCCAGGGTGGATGGTGTATGAAGCGACATTTCCCCGAGTTCTGATAGTGGTCCAACGGGCACCTCAGCGGTCTGAGACGTAGAATGCGCTGTATTGTCTCTGACATTAGAAGTATAGCCCGCAATCTCGCTGACCAAATTGTCCTCATCCGAATTCTCTTCGCTAGGTACTATACGTGCGCGGAAGTCCACCTCATTTGACGCCTTCTGAGCTGGGAGCGGTGCATTCGGCTCGTCAATGCTACGAAGCATATTACGGATGTCCTTGACGTATATAGCATACCTTGGGAAGTAAGAGAGTAGACTTTGCAACGTCGCGATGAATGCGACTAGGTATCGCCGTGCGGTTTCGGCTTTCATGACATAAGCAGGACTGTCACGGTGGCATGCGTAGAGTATAGCACATGAGGCCTGATACAAGATAACGAAGCAAGATGTATCGCTGACATAAGGACTGATCTCCACCAGACCGTAGGTTGATGCAACGATCTCGCCTATGGAGATTGCGTGCTCGAGGCATTTCGACTGCGCGTATGCAACGAGTTCGGGTGAACTGGAGTAGATGACCGATTGCGGAAGAGCCTCGCGGTATCCTGGATTGAGCAACCGATAAAGTTCGCAATGACAGTGGTGGAAGTAAAGATGTAAAATAGTAAAAGTCGTGCGCTCGGGAGAGAACGTCCGAAGTTGATAGGCACGTGTGCTGAACACAAGCTCTGCGGGCAAAGACTCGTGTATCTCCCTAAGCTCTCCTTCAAGCATTTGGAACTGTGCTAGAGAAGTCTCCGGGCTAAGCGAAGCGTCCAGGAGTTGTTTCGTATACCTGCCATGTTAGCGAAATCTCGACACAGGGCCATAGTCGGGTAGCTTTACTGGAGTACATGGTTGCGGGCGTTGAAGATACGCAGCAAAAACGCCGCGGGTGTAAGCTTGGAGTTGTCCGCTTGGGTTTCATGGATGTGTGGTGTCGCGACAGGAGTGTCGATTTGAAAAAAGTGTTCTGGGCACGGAAGTTGTACATGTACTGAGGTCGCGGGCAGAAGGATGTATTCCTGCTATCAAATCAACACTGATTCAGCATCAAGTGAGCGAAGTCATGCAAAATCCATCAACCTCTCTCTATAGATGAGTTCCAAGCGGATAACACTGAAGATTGACGTCTTGGGCGTGGACTTACCGGAACACCACCAGCATGGAGTCGATCCAATGCAAACATGCACCACAGGAGCCTCCGTCGAGATTCCTGTTCAACAAATGGCAGCTGGCTGTTCTCTTTGTGCAGCTTGAGTAAGTAAGCCATCCTGACTGCCAATGATATGTAAGTGAAACTTTTGCCGTTCTGGTGATTATACATGCAATGCAGCTCAAGGAGCATTAACGTCTGAACATCAGCAATATTCATTTTTCCCATATTCTGGAATATGGTCGTCTCGGCCTGCTCGATCCATGATTTGATCATGCCGGCTCGTTCCCTAGGAGATGGCAGGAAGCGCGACGACACACCACATACGGCAAGAAGCAGCGCTGGTGAAACAATGCCAGCCGTGTACTGTCCCAAGAATTCTGCTCGATGCAAGAAGCTGAAAATTGGAACCGGATAGATGTAGTCGTAATAAGCGTCAATATGTTGCCGGATGATGGCTCGATCGCACCCAAGAATTCTGGATTCATTAGCTATAATAGTCTCAATTGAGTGAGTTCATGTACTTGTCAATATGTTCAGTGGCAGAAGTATCTGGACTCGCTGTGACTTCACTCCCGGTTGTCGGCGTGCCATGCGTTGCCCTGCCGACGTCATCCCCTCCCGATTGGTTAACAACTTGTTCGATAGAAACCAGACTTCTTTTGTGACGTTCTCCAGCGCGGTATTGACGAACCGAAAGCGTATAGTTGCATGGAATGTTGAGCTCTCGACAGCGTCGACAGCTAGGAGTTTCACCTGTGCATCGCGATCTCTGAGAACGACATGCATCACATGCTCGCGTGCCTCGCTTTCGAGATGCCACCGGTAGGTTGCCAACGTCGGCGATTGGGGTGGTAGCAAGGCCCAAGGAGCATTGAAACCCCAGTCGCTTACATGCATCGCAACTGACTGGGCCGCCTTCACATCGAACCTGTATCCTGAGGTAAGCATTTACTGTATATACAGTCGAGGATCATTACCTTTCTTTGCCTACACTGAGCGCAGGCTACCATTTTGGACGTGCTTTGCAGCCAGAACAGGTTTGCTAGGTGGGACCAGGTCTTTCGTTATCATCAAATTTCCGAGCGAGTTGTCGCCGCCAAAGATCCTAGCCACCACCACATGGTAGCAACACAACAGTTCCGGACAGTGATCATACTCTCAAGACCATCGGTTACTGAGACCCGGCACGGGCCTACGGGTCGTGCTGGATGTGTCTAAACAGGGGGCATATGGCGAAGAGTGGATGAAGCCGAACTAGGAATTAGCGTCCGGCTGTCGGCATCTACGAGCGCCGATTGGCCACATTGCTGGAGCGGACTACACAGTCTGTAGCAAGCCCGACGACTTTGACGCCTGCAAGGTTCAATCCCATCCATTCTACCACATAGTCGACAGCCAAGCTCACCAAAACTCGTCGCCTTTTTTCCATGCACCATGACTTGTGTAGTTCTCAACGACGATTAGGGAATTATCACCCCACCGCAACTGCCACTCATCAAGTGCGACCCGGACAACTGTCAGTGGCACCAATCCACTCAATCCTCGAGAGGCATAACTGTCTGCTCACTCGCAGGTTTGTCATTAACGGGAACCAATTCATGAATGCAACTATGATACTTTTCTAGTTCTAATCACCTCATGGCTATGGACTGATATACCGCAGATGAATGCAATCTACTGGACTGTTACATGGACTTCATACCCTCGCGCCTGAATGTTCTCGAACTCAAGCGACTCTGCGCTCCATGATATTTTATTGGAACCTGGATGCCTCTGCTTTGAACTTCCGAGCGCTGATCTTCTCGTGAAACAGATGATCTAGGGTCTCCGGTGTCATGCCCTTTGTTTCTGGTAGCCTATAGTAGGCCCAAATCAACAGACATACGTTCAATATAGCAGCAGGAAACGCTGCCTTCCCCTTAAGATCCCACTTGCTCGGATTGAGCATGTACGGCGAGATAACGACGTTGATGATGGAAAGGAAGTAGTACATGTTACGACCAAGAGCGATTGTCTTATAGCGCAACTGTACTGCGCCGACTTCAGCGGCGATGGCATAAGGAATTGGACCAATCGTTATGCCTAGCACAGCGTTAGCTCTGACAAGTATTGGAAATCAGGAGCTTATACTTACCGTAGGTGAAGAACCAAATCATCAATATGGATGATTGTGCCCATTTGATGCTGGAGTTGCTGCCTGCATTTGGCGCGAACTCGAGAAAAGCAACAATCCACATGATCGGCAGCATGATGGCTAGACCTGCAATGTAGATGGTGCGCCGCCCCATCCGAGGTTGCAAGAACCACGACGCGCATGTGCCAACAAAAGCCATACCAAACACGCCCATCGTAAGATTGAAAGAGTCGCTTGGAGCAAGTCCAGCGAGGGTGAAGAAGTAGGTCGTGTATCCCTGGATGATGAAGCCAGGAAGTATTTGTCCGCCCCAAGAGAGCATTGCAATCTCCGTCCTACGCAGATTCGTGCCCTTGAAGCAGTCCAGGAAAGATCCACCAACCTTCAGTTTACGCTCCAGTGCAATGGTATGCTGCATCATGGCAAGACGATGGTCGTTGTTAACTATCCCAGAAGGTGCGCTTACCAGGCGGTCCAGCGTCTTCCTTGCTTCATCGATACGCCCTTTGCGAACGAGCCACCAAGGGCTCTCTGGTGAGAACCAGGTGGCAAAAATCAACACTGGTGGCCACATCCACTGGAGCGCGAACGGGACTCTGAAAGACCACTCCGACTGCACCGGTAACATGCCTCGTAGGACACCGGTCGCAAGGATTCGTCCGATGACCCAGCAAAGATTGACGTATGTCGTGAGGTATCCTCTTAGTGCCATAGGGACGATCTCAGCGGCGTACGTCGGTGTTGCTGCAGCGAAGAGGCCCCAGGTACACGCACTACGCTTGTTAGAGCTTTCCAGACATCATTTTTGGGTGCCATCAAATACCATAACAACTCGCCTGCAAACAGTATCTCAACGCTCTGCGCTGTAAAGATTATAGCGACAAATCCAGCCAGGAAGCAATGCGCTGCAATCATGACATATCGGGGTCCGTAGCGATCACCAAGGTATCCACTGGCAAACACGCCAAAAATAAGACCGATCAGTGATGCTAGACTTAGACCCAGCTGCCAGTCTGCATCGACCTGCCATGTACCGTTTGGCAATTGTTTACCGTACTTTCGATTAAACTGGGGAAATGCATAGAAGGAGCTGATGAGCTGCATGTCGTAAGACTCCATGATGGTGGCCATGGCTGTTGACAATGTAAGTGGCAATTATAAGATCACAACCCCGCTTACTCACAGATAGTAATAGACCAAAACACGGCTTTTCGATAATACTTGAAGGCAGCCTTCAGAGGCATTGTCTTCTCCTGTTCTGTGCCTCGGACAGCTTCGTCTTCATACCCTGTAATGTCTTTCTCTGGTTCCATAGCTTCCATCGTGGTCATGGTGTTCTTTTCCTCTTGTGAAGTATCTGGTGCCATAATATCAGAGTCTGTCGATGTACTTCGTTCTTGTCTGGGCAGGAGTGAAATATGATTTCCGCAGCGTTTGAACTGCGTTATATCTGCATGGAACACTTCTAGTCAACCTTATATACAGCACTGGGTCAAGCCTCATTGGGCCTTCTTCGGCAAGCGGGTAATGGAAGCTGGGGCAAAATCTGGGGATGTAAAGATGTCCTGCAGGATTTCATTAAGCCACCTAGGATTGTCGGCCGTTTGCAGCTCCGGTTGGTCGCGCCTAAGCAGCGATCAAGTCGTGCTTCTAGCCATAATGACGATATCCGATACCACATGAGTCGCGGTACTTTCTCAAGATCATGTGGTACGCGCCATAGTCTTGTCGGACGAGTTCTCACTTGGTTGAGCCACCGACAGGCATCGGTTACCAGATTTGGACGAGCCCGACACCCGTAGCGTGGGATCGCTCCACTCAGACCTCCGCATCGCGTGTCTCCTCAGCCCGTCTGCTCTCTCGCGCCCAAGCTACTATCAGTTTGCATTACCGACGAGACAGTGCAGGATGCATTCCCGAGTTTCTTCGAGCCAGTTGCGGCTTATGCTTGTCCGCATGACGGCTAATCACGCGTTTAAGAGACGCGTAGTGCCCTAGCATGACATCTCCCTTCTTCCACCATTCCTTCATTTATGATTATTGAAATTATTCCAACCATCCTGACAGAGATTACGAAAGTGAGCGCGCGTTAAAAGCTTTCCCAGTATTATACCGAAGATGGCGACACAAGACCGCCCAAACATCATCTTCATGATGGCGGACGATCACGCCTCAAAGTCCATCTCCGCCTACGGCGCTGGCATCAACCACACCCCGAATCTTGACAGAATTGCCAAAGAGGGCATGCTATTCAATCATTGTTATGTAACGAACAGTATTTGTACGCCGTCGCGTGCTGCAATTTTGACAGGAACCCACAACCACGTCAATCTGGTCATGACACTCAACTCCGAGATCAATGAACGCCTTCCCAACGTGGCCAAAGCCCTGCAAGCTGGAGGCTACCAGACAGCAATGGTGGGAAAATGGCACCTTGGCGAAGGTAAGGGACACGAGCCAACAGGTTTTGACTACTGGAGTATTGTGCCTGGGCAGGGCGAGTACTACGATCCTATGTTTATCGAGCCATCAGGTACAAAGCGGGTTCCAGGATATGCAACAGATATCATTGCCGACAAGAGCCTGGAATTTATCAAGAACAGGGACAAATCGAGACCTTTCTTCGTCATGTGCCATCACAAGGCGCCGCATCGTAGTTGGGAATGCGACCCGAAGCACAAGCATCTGTACAAAGATCCAGTTCGATTACCAGATACCTTTACAGACGACTACAAGAATAGAGCCAGGGCTGCCAAGATCGCCAAGATGCGCATTGCAGACGACATCACATATCATGACTTGGGATTGGTCCAGCCAGATGGCGGCAACGAAGTCGGTGAGAAACTGATCGATATATACTGGTGGAGTGAGCGCAGCCCAGTTCGTTTCTACTTCTCGGCGTGCTGACTTTCCTACTAGATGATCGAAAGATTCCTAACCCTGAAGATGTTACCAAGATGCGCCTTCTCGATAAAGATGACGGAACCGTCTTTACTTTCAAAACCCCCGCAGAGCTCGCCGAGTTCAAGTACCAACGATACATGCAACGCTACCTTCGTACCATCCAATCTATTGATGATAATACAGGCCGAATGCTAGACTACCTGGACGCAGAGGGTCTCGCAGAGAACACAATTGTAATCTACACCTCAGACCAAGGCTTCTTCCTTGGAGAGCATGGTTGGTTCGATAAGCGCTTCATGTATGAAGAGAGTTTCCAGATGCCGTTCCTGGTACGCTGGCCCAAGGAGATCAAAGCAGGATCCGTATGCGACGACATCATTTGCAACGTGGACTTCGCGCCAACGTTTCTTGATGCTGCGGGTCTGCGCATACCGAGCTATATGCAGGGCGTATCCTTCCGCAAACTGCTACAAGGCCAGACACCTTCGGATTGGCAACAAGTTGCATATCACCGGTATTGGATGCACAACGACATGATTCATGCGGCATATGCGCATTACGGTGTCAGAGACCAGCGATACAAGCTCATTTACTGGTACAATGAGGACTTTGGGATTGAGGGTGCGAGACCAGCGGATGCCGAGCATAAAGAGTGGGAGCTGTTCGATTGTCAGGAAGATCCGTTGGAACTGTTCAACGTGTACGCCGATGCAGGATACAGGGATGTGGTGGAACATATGACACGGTTGCTGGAGGATAAGATGGCGGACATAGGGGATACACCAGTGCACCCAACGAGGAACAGACCTGGTGGTCTCATTAAAGGAAGGATATGAGGATAAATGTAACGCGATAATGTTATTACCAAATTACAGATGCTCTCGAAGATTCTTGCTCCTTTTGCTACAAGCCGCCGTTATAGCTTCCGCGTCTGTGTACCTTACTCAACCCAGAAGCTCTGCATAATATTCGACTCGCTTTTTCAATGTTTCACATTCGTCCATAGATTGGTTGAGCAACAATCGCAGCTGCGCCCCGTCTTCATCTTCCTTCTCATCTAGCCGTGTATGTCGCAACATGTTCCCAATCTCTGTTTTGTCAATCACTTTCTCCAGGTCTCTTTTCTTCTTTCCCAAGTCTATCAGCCGCTCAAGCAGCTTAATCTTCTCAACTGGAAACTGCACGATATCATTCATGAGTCGGACTGTTCCGCTAGTGTCTTGGGATTGGTTGATTCCATTCAAAACATCCTCGAGTATATCTATGCTACTCTGGAGCTCCTTGCGGAGTTCCGCTACAATGTCGTAATTCACTTCGTCCGTTGGAGGCTCATTTTTCAACCCTACTTGATTACACTGCGAGTCCGTTTGCTCCTCTTGATACTTGTTTTTGAGGCTTTTGAGATGATGCTCAAGTTTTAGTCGTGCATTCAGTAGGTTGCGGATCGTACGCTCTCTTCCGAAAGGGCGGGTGGCGCATGAAAGCTGCACAGAAAGAAAGATGTACTCCCTGTAAAGATTCCTATAGGTCCTCTCAAGGTCGAGACGTTCCCAGGCGTCATCGTACTGTTCGGGCGTGAAGTGTGTTGGGTTTGTGGATAACATGGTCGGCGGATCTGGCGAATTGATGCTTGGTGCAGAGAAGAAATCAAGTGTTAATATACTTGAATGGTATATCATGGCTATTTGTGCCACGTTTGCTGCACTTTTACATGATCTCAAGTCATCACGCGTAAAGATCCGCAGAGTTCTGCTCCAGAATTACGATGCTTTTGAAATACTACGCCATGTGTCTCGCTCCCAATATAGACGTGGCGGGGTCCAGCATAGTCCTATATCACGACAGGCGTGCGAAGAAAAACACTAGATTCGTAGAAGATTGCAAAAGAGAAAAGCCAAGACGTTCGGCATGACGCAAAGGGAGGGAAGTTGCTAAATTTAGAGATGAATCCAAGGTGAATTGTGTAAATGATGCCGTAGCCAACATTTGTGTTGAAAAGGCACTAAGACTCGAAATGGTATACCATGAACGCCATGCTCTTATTCCAAACGCCATATATCCGATGGAGTGCGGAACTCGCTGCCCCTGTGGAGCGTTGTCCGACTTGCTCTCCACGACTAATCGTTCCGTCTCGAGCTACCATCTACCGTCTTGCACGGACATTGAAGGGACTCTCTTCTGCAGCTTTGTATGAATCGAAGGCGAACAAGCTGACAAAGTACAGCGCTGCGAACCTCACGACCAAGTCGCTCAGTCCGCCGTTCCCGAGCAGCATCCTTTGTAAATTGGCAAACGGGCTCTCGCCGACGGGACGGCTAGGTTCGGAAGCTGAGCCGAGTGTACGACCCTTGGTCTGAAAAACAGCAGAGGCAGCACCTGGGCCAGATGTGTCGCTGGCAGCTTTGCGGACAGCGGCTGTGAGGGCGGCGGGGTTGGCGCCGCGGATGGTCTCGACTACAGATGAGGATTTGATGATGAGAAAAGTTGGCATACTACACGATCGACATTAGCTCCCAGTCCCTATATGTGTCCGTGGTGGCATACTTACGCGCTAACGCCGTACTTCTTTGCAACCTCCTGCTGACTGTCCACGTCCACCTTGACGAACTGCATCTTGCCAGGCTTAGTCTCCTTCTCTGCCAAGCCCTGGAAGACGGGCGCGATTGCTTTGCATGGCCCACACCAGTCGGCGTAGAAGTCAACAACCGTGTATGTCGACTGCGAGAGGAGCTGGGAGAAGTGCGAAGACGACGTCACGGGTATGATCTTGCCGGGCATGGTGGCGGGGTTTAATTTTGTAGATTGATTTCTAGTATACGATCGGTTACTACGGCAGCGTTCGAGGGGATCAGATCAGGGAGTTCGTGAAGTTGAGTTGCTATGGTGAATGCTGTGGCGGGGAGGACAGCTTGCGGCGTGGATGCGCCATACGGAGCTCAAGCGGGTCGGCCGCCGAGGCTCATCCGCATATGGCTTTAGTAAGCCAGCCTTTGCAATAGTCTCCTCTCAACGCGTGCAACACGCGATTTACCACTGAGCATCATCAACACCTGCGAATGAAATCACCCTAGGCGCTTGTTGTGCCTGTAATGGTTGATGAGCAGGTGTAGGTGTGGGACGCTACATGACGGTGTTCAACAGCACAGACAAAGTCACTTGTATCTTTCCATGACTAAATGCAAGGGAGTTCCTGTGTAAATGTTACTCGAATTCTTCCATGACTAAGAGGAAGACCCTGGTTATTTCACACCACTTCTATCCTAGTCTCAAACCTGACGTCTGAATCTCCTCAACGGTCTTTGCTTATCAGCTGGCTGGTCAGGATCCCAACCGACTAGGCAGTTCACAGTCTCAGCTCCAAGTCCCGGGTCATTGATGCGGTCACCAGTCGGCATGCGGAACTGTCCCATGAGCTTGACATATGCATCGAGCGCGTCTACCATAGTCTTCCCCAAAGCCAATGCCTTCTCCGCCCTAGTATGCGAATAGAAAGTCAGAAATTCGAGCGCATCATCGCGCATTCCATTGTCAACCAGCGTCTTGGCAGTGCGCTCTACCCAATCCATGTCCGCAAATGAAGCATTTTCAAATCCATGTAACATATTCTGGACAATGGGTAGGTATGTTTCCGGATCAGAGCAAGTGTAATATAGCACCTGTTTGAAGATGCGACCAGCAAAGTGCGTGGCCTCCTGGTACTGGTAGTCGGTATCCAAGAAAGTCGAGGCGGCGTCCTTGTACAGATAGCGGTGCAGACCATACTCTGGTGGAACGCTCTTCACACCCAGCCACCACGGATTGAAAGGTGCCGTCACAGAGCCAGTCGGTGCAACCCAGATGCGAATCAGATCCGGATCCATGTCTGCGCGAAGGGACACAACTTGGCCGTACCCGGCTTCGTCGTCCGAGATGCGGTAATCGCGAACGCGTTCGATGAGATCTTTCTCCGTCACCGGAGCCATCGCACGGGTAGCGTCCTCGAGAGCGGCTTGCGACATATACTTCGCGCCTCCGTCGCGAGCGGTGTATCCTTCCTCTTGAGGTGCGTATGCATTGAAAATGTTGAATGGCTCAGTACCATTCGGATTCCACCATCCTTGCTCGATAGCGAAGCTCACAATGTTTGGACTGCCCATGTAGTCTGAACTGTTCTGGAAATCGACGGGGAAATCCTCAATGTAGCCTGGGTAAAGCACGCGGACGTCGTTTTCTCCTAGGCGCTCTGCTGCCCAGAGCTTCTTGCCTCCTGACATCTGCCATACGACCCATCCTTCATTCGCGTCTGCAATCAGGTGCGAGTTGCCGCCGTAATCGGCATATCCGTATTCTGCTATCATTTGGCCGATGAGTTCAACACCTTCGCGAGCGGTGCTTGCCCGTTCCATCACAATACGAGCTAGGTCGGAGTATTGCAATCCAGTCTGAGGATTCGGCGTCATGGCAATGAGATCGTCACGGTTTTGAGCCCAGATATCCCGAACAGCAACGCCCTTCTCATTCACTCCGCCGTTCGTTAGAGGAGGGGGAAAGCCTTCGAAGTCGGAGTATTCCATAGAGAGATAACGGAAGGTATGTGGTACTTGGGAGATGTTCATCAATTGGCCAGGCATCGATGCGTCTTCGGTCACTCCGACGGTAATCGTCGCGTTCGGGGCGTGATCTTTGGCTGGGAAAATCTGAAGCCAATGCGAAGACACTTCCTCTCCAGTTCCACCTAGCATGACACTACCATCCTGCGTCAGACCTTTTCCGACATAGAATCCATAGCTGGCTCGGGCAGGCCTCACGAGGCTCAGGAGCCCTACCGCAAGGAATCGTGTGAGCATCTTGTGGGTTGGTGATGAAGATTGGGTCGCAAGAACCTCCAAAGAGAACCTCAGCCTTTTTCTTCTCCAATGCAAGGGTGGGGGTACCTTACAGCGGACCGACTACGTCAGATAACCCCGAGACGGCATATTGCGGAGATCAAATGGACTGGAGAAGGTCAAGCTTGTAGTGTTGGAGATACGCTATCCAGGAACCGGTTCGACGGGCCTTGGCAGCTGAGTCGTGAACGGGTTCGGAGATATGTGCGGGCGCAATGGCCGCTCACTACGCACATCAGTCTGTCCGCTCGCAATCTCTGTCATCTGCAATCATGATGACTCATGACAACTGTTGCATTCAGATGCAGTCGATGCTCGGTGAGAACAGTCAAAAAATGAGGAGGCGGGCCACGCCCGGTTAGCAGCCACTACGCTAATCATGCACGAAGGAGCGGATCGTCGTGTATGACTCTTTCGTCTCGCGGCTCCTTCGCTGCTAGCATACATCTACCACCTCTCTAAGGTGAGTAACGTCATAGTCCAGTGAATTTCGTCGCGAACCCCGACGAAAAAAACTGGTCCACAATCCTTCGTACCTGCCAGATACAGCTCCTTCATCCATGTGGCGCCCTCGTCAGGTGTTTGGATGCCTTGCGCCCTTCTGAGGAATGTTATGCTGGTGCCTGCAAGAAGCGCGCAGGTGGAAACCTGCCGACTGTGAGCTTGATATACGCGGGTAAATGGTTGAAGACAAGGTATAAGTATTGTGAGGCATCCAGGCTGCCACGTATCTGCCCTATACTTCTCCTCTAAGTTTCATCTCAACCATACCAATATCATCGCTTTTGGTAATCACAGGAACCAGCCCGCCATGTCTTCTCTTTCAGCATCTGATACTCCACGCCAGCGTATTCGCAATTTGTTGCCAACGCTGTATCTTGGCCGTTATCAGCCCGGCCCCAAGAATAGCTTGACAGACGTTCCTGGCGTACTCGTGCATACGGAATCCATCCATTCATCGCCTGCCTATCCTGACGCACCGCCGAACGACATCAACACAGGCGTAACAACCATTCTGCCGCGCAAAGATTGGTTTCACAAAGCCTGTTTTGCAGGCATATTTCGTTTTAATGGCTCTGGAGAGATGACTGGGGCTCACCTCATCGAGGAAATGGGCCTCTTGTTTTCTCCTATCATCATCACGGGTAGCTTCGGCGTTGGCTCAGCGTATAACGGTATCTACGAATCCGCCATCCGTGATAACTGCGATAAGAGCGGCAAGGTCGATTGGTTCTTGCTGCCTGTCGTTGCGGAAACTTTTGATGGCTTCTTGCACGATGTATCCAAGTTTGCTGTGACCCCGAAGCATGTTGTGGATGGCATTGACAAAGCGAGCAGCGAGCCAGTAAAAGAAGGGAACACGGGAGGTGGCACGGGTATGATCTGCCATTACTTCAAAGGAGGTACTGGATCGAGCTCTCGTGTAGTGCCAGGTGAAGATGGCAAAAGCTATACCGTTGCGGCACTGGTTCAAGCAAACTACGGCAAGATGTGGGACTTCAAGATTGGAGGCGCACCGATTGGCAGAATCATCTACGAAGAGCAGAAGCGGAAGATCGAAGAGAACCCCGATGATCCAGATCTGATGGCGCAAGCGAATCTGCTGTTCAAAGTGAAGAAAGAGAAGGACAAGAAAGACGGGTCTATCATCATAGTCCTTGCCACAGACGCTCCGCTCCATCCGCAACAACTGCAACGACTGGCTAAACGTGCAACCGTTGGACTATCACGCGTAGGCGGCTATGGCACGAATTCTTCAGGCGATGTCTTCCTTGCCTTCTCCACAGCCAACGAGTTGCACGTTCAGACTGTCACAGCAGGCCAAGCTTCTGTCGATCCGTACAAAGCGAAAGAGGTGCCAGTAAAGATGACTGATGACCAGACTATCAATGCCTTATTCGAGGCGAGTGCCGATGTCGTGGAAGAGGCCATATACAACGTGGTCTGTATGGCGGAAACGATGGAAGGCAACGGAAACAAGATCGAAGGGCTAAATCTGAGTCGAGTCAAGGAGCTTATGCAGAAGTACCTGTAGCGTCTAGGATATTGTCCTAACACGGTTTCCGTTCGATGGATATGATGCGTACAAAAATGCGTTAGTAGAGCGTTGTCTATAGAACCATCTGCAGTTGTTTGCACGAGGCTTGGATTGTCGTGCCAAGTACCAATTATACCAATGCAAGAAAGCCTACCATTTAGCCCCATGTGCAAAGGCAGGCGTGCTAGTTTTGGTTGCTGTACCCTACGTTACGATTTGAATGCTAATGCTTGTGTAGCGTGGATCGTTGTGTGATTCAGGCACGAGCCTGACTACAAGTGGCCGCATGCTTCAGGGTCATAAATGGATCTTCGCGCACGTGCTACAACAGTCGCAAGGCTGTTTGTTTCAGTGTGTGGAGGCCAGATGCCATCTACCAATGACCGGGATGCGTAGATCTACGATGTCTGAGATCAGCAAAAGTTTGTGGAGAAAGCGTGCCGATTGACGGGAAGGCATATTCCTTGATTATCGCGCAGAGTTGTGGCGCAGACACACATGGAAAGCGGGAAGCCGAGTGGGCGGGCTAGAAGACTGGCGAGGTGCTGCGCCGCTGTACCGGAGCTTCACCAGTAGTCTAGGCCTTCCCAGGTTGCTTTTACGAACACGATCGTCGAGCAGCTTTTCGATCAGCGGCCCCCGGTCGTTCGTTACCTGCTCATGGGACACTGCAGCGCAGATGGTGGCTTCTGACTGGAAGAGGGAGGTGGAAAGCAATTCCGGAGGTGCTTCAGGTATTTGAGTGGTGTGAAGGCGGTCAACGTTAAACTCCTCGGGTAGCGTTCCTTCCACAAATAGTGCAGAAGCATCGTATGTTGTCTCTTGGACGCGGATAGCTAAATTGAGCGACAGCGCGTCCTGGTGGTGAGTCTGTGGGCCACATGATTCTGATGGTTGTCTTTGCAGCGAGATGCGAGGTCTGGACTCAGCGCGCGGTGCTGACGGGATGCCATGTTCTGCACTGGACGAGGCCAAAACTCTCAGTCGTAGTAGCAGAAGAAGAATCGGAGAGTTAATAATATGGCTTTTGGATCTGATGAACAATGCTCTCATGGAAGAATACAAATACCATGGACGCACCGTGTGGCGGCGTCTTGAATTCCCATGGAATTTTCCGCCCGTGGCAGAAACCGGCTGCTGCCACTAGCGGATGTCAGAAGTGGGTCGGGGCTGTGAGAGCCTCGAACACCCTTCTTTTCATCTACACGGTCCAGACCACCAGACACGACTGCGCGCTATCCTATAACGTCCTTCTCAGCTTCTGCCTGTCCGTGAGACCGTAGTCGTGGCATCTGTCATGCCGTGTGGCCACCCTCATATATGCCATTTCTCCCATTTCCCATCGTCTCCCACCACAGACGTCACTCCTCATGGCGATCTCTACCTTTTCTAGTTCCCCCATCCCAGACCTCACCGAAGTTCTGGAGCGGATTGGTCTGACCCAGTACGCTCAGGTACTATCCGAAAATGGTTTCCATAACTGGGAGAGCGTTGCAGACATTACCGAGGATGATCTGACGGCGCTCGAGTTCAAGCTTGGGCATAGGAGATTACTACAGCGCGAGATTGCCACGTACCGTGGGATTCCTCAATCATTATCGCTGGAGCCAGAAGCCAATTCACCAGAACCCACTTCCTTATCGACGTCCGCTTTGGAGAGCTTCACGAGACAAACAACAACCCCACCACCACGAGAGAAGAGGAGGTACAGGCGGCATCCTCGGGCAGATCCAAACGCGCCAAAGAAGCCAAAAACGGCCTGTACGCTCTTCTTACGAAAGTACCATCGGTGTTTGATCTAACATGCCGTCAGATGTCAACTTCGCTGACCAGCTCCGCACCGACCCTGAGGTTAGCCAACTGTCCTTTGTGGATATAGCTCGAGAGGTCGGCCGAAGATGGCAGGAGCTCCCCGCAGAGAGCAAGCGGGTATGGGAGAGCAATGCCGCCCGAGCTATGCAAGAATTCGAAGCCCAGATGGATGAATACAAGAAAACAGACAATTGGCGGAAGTATCAAGCTTACTTGAACGACTTCAAGACACAGCAAGCAACCTCAGTCTCCAGCAAACAACGACCGGGGAATAGTCGCTCAACGACAGATACTTCTAACAACACTAGACCATACTCACGTGCCAGCCCAATCTCCTCGGACAGTCCTGTCTCGCTCCAATCCTCCAGTGTATCCGGTGGACCCGAAGCAGAAGCATGTCATAATGCATTGACGCTCGCATTCAGTGAGTTGGTCACCCTCAGGGGCGAAATATTCAACGGAGGTGGCGTTCAACAGTTCAATCAAGGTTTTCTACCTCCTGAAGATCGTGTTCGACGGTCCATGTATGCGTTTGTGCGAGGGACTGGATCGCTTCTCTTCATGTGGACTTACGAACAGGTCAACGAGATACTTGACCGCATCTACCGACCTCAAAAGCCGGTGGATCAGATGACGCTCGCGGAGTGTTTTACGGTCGCGGCTATGGGCGCACATTATGATATTGATGCCTTCCCAGACCGCATGCGACGACTGCTATACGCATCTGGAACGCTCCAGTTCAATGAGCAGACTGCGAGACAAGACTACTTTCGTACAATGCGTCTATTGCTCTCTCTATCGTTCTACTCGCTACTCGAGAAGCACATGAGCGCCAAGTACTTGATCGGTATGTTCATTCCCGCTTGACAACCGCGCCACCAAGCTAACAAGCCACAGCTGCGGGATTGCAGATCGCCCGCTGGAAGTGTCCGTCTGCGCAAGCTTGGCCTCGCTCAGCCTCGGACGAGAATTGGAAGAAGATCTTCCGTAGCCTCGTTTTCATGGATTCCTGGCTCTCTTACACCCTTGGTTATCCCTCCGAGGTGACAGCCAATGATATCCAGGTATGTCGCTAGGCACATAATTTGGTGACCACGATACTAATATAGCCAGACTGCCTGTGTTGTATACCATCCAGATCAGCTCCCCATTGACGAACTCATACATATGCAAATTAGCAAGATCAACTTGATCGCTGCCGAGGTTGCAAAAACGTTGGCCTCTCCTGAATTGACTACCAAGGGAAACATCACGATGCTTGCCACAAAGTTGGAGAAGTGGCGCGAGGAGATTCCACACGCGTTACAAATCCCCACGCTTCTTTCGAGCGAAGCCCAGGATCTAACAGTCTACCAAAGACGTGCAGTATTCATGGTACATATCATGTATCTTGGTGCACTAGTCTTGTTATATCGCCAGCTGCTAGTCGCGTCAGCTGAAGCCCAGCTTATCGACAGCACGCCATCTCCTTTGAACAACATATCGGTCGAAGATGTTAAGAGATATCGCCAGGAGTGTGCAATGGCAGCTCAGAACATTGCCCGCATGTTGGGACTAATCTCCTTCGATGGCACACTGACCAAGCGCTGCTGGATCATCATCTACTGGTCTTTTTCAGCCGTAATCTGCCTCCTCTTCAGCGCAACCACCAAACTCATGGATGGTCAGGTTGACGGTGTTGAGGCAGATCTCGCGTATGCGAAATCGTGCATGGACATGCTCGAGCCGTGCAAGCCATGCGAACCTGTTGCGGCACGTTATCTGGACACCCTCTGGCCGCTGTACGATCATTTGCTGGACGTCCATCGTCGGATGATCGGTAGGTCGAAGAGCAGCATCTTCGCTATCCTCCAGCCCGACCCGAGCCTTTTGAGCCCACCTGTACCAGTATCGAAGCAAGAAATGGGACCGATTTCCGAGAAGCTTACAATGCTCCTGACGGATCCTTTTGGAAGAAAACAGGCCACTGACGGCACCCAACGGCGCATCCTTAGCAACGATGGATCATACTCGGTTTTCTGGTTCAGGTGAAGAAAGCGTCTGAATTGTTATGTTCTCCACTTCTCGGCGACTTGACGAGGCAGAGAAGGTTTGGATGTCAATATTGACCCGGATACACGTTACGATTCGTTGGAACTATCACTATTGAGATGGCGATACAGACGCGTACCACGCGCGCGTCGACTTGACTAATTGGAATCTGGTATATGGTGCCCAGTATGCTGGTAGCCAAGTCCGATAGACCCAAAGTCTACACCAGCTTGGGGTCGCTTCCCGCGACACGGAACTGTCATGCTGCTATATATGGCGCCATGCTTCAACGGCCACCACTCCGGCTTGCGCGACAAGATTCTGATCGATAGCGCAATTGCACGTTTCAGCCGTTCCTGACTAGCAACCATTCTAATGGATTGCAAGCTGGTGCATCTCCACATACACGTGGTAGGGGGTCATCGGCTGTGGAGGTGGATACGCGTAGGATAAAGTGACGACAACGAACAAGGACTAGAATTGTGGACATGAGCAGTAGTAATATTGGCTGGGCAGCATCATTGGAATACTAAGATGAATGGTTTGCGCCACGACAGCAGATAATGTATCTAGAGCGGGAAAAATGGGAATGTATCGTGCTGTAGTGTCGATCACGGGAGCGCCCGTCGCCCGTAGCGTAAACGTTATTGTCAGCAAACTCGTACTTTCAGCTCATACCTGAATCTATCATGACAGTGTCACCAAAAACTTGACTAAGAAAACGTCGTGGCTATTTTTCGGTCCCACAGAACATGGCATCGTCTCATCACTCATCATGTAGCATGTTGTGTACCATGATGAGTGATGAGACCGATCACGGCCGCGGTACAGTAAGTGATACGCGTAATTCAGATCCATTTTTCATAAACTAGACGACATGTTCAGCAACATAACCGACTCCTTCTCGGCCGTGTCTTTGTATCCCTCGTGCTTGAGGTGTAGACGATGTTGTCATGGCCTCTGCAGAATGAGGAGAAATGGCGCAGCTGATGTTGTCATTCTGCCGCTACGCGATTCCAATAGTGCGGCAGTCAACGCTGTCGCGATGTTTTTAGTGGCCTCGCGAACACTCGGGCTAGGGACTATGTTTATCGAAACGTGTTTCAGTGGGGTTTGCAGCAGCAAAGACAAGGTCGTCCTTGGCAGCAAACTGCTATACCCACGAGGTGGGAGTCGTGCGATCGCGATGCGCGGTTTGATCGGCCTCAGTGCGGTCGGGGTCGGTGAAGCTGGCTTGCATCATTTTGAAGATCATGCTCGCAAATTGGCTTAGGGGAAGAAGCGCGAGCAGGTCGAGGGTACGTACGCGTGTATGTATGAGATAAGCAACATGGCGCCCCTCAAATTAACGAAGACGCAACGGAGACAGTCGACCCCTTTCGGCGAGGGTGAAGTTGGTCGGTCGGTCGGTCGATAGGTCGGAGGAAAAGTAAAAGGTTGTTGATGCGCTACAACGACTAACCGCCAACGCCGCGTTTTCTTTCCGAATCCGAAACGCAGATGCTCCCCGGCCGGCAGTGAAGCCATCTGGCGCCAGCTAGTTGGCTACATAAAGTTGTCGTGGGATACGGGCAATGCACAAGCGTGGGCGGATAAGGAAAGGGGGGTGCGCCATATGCAAGTCTAGATCTACAATGGGATCCACCCCGGCAGCAGCAGCGGGTGGGACTCCTGGCATGAGGGAGGCTCGTTCGCGTCATTTGGGGGTGAAATAGGGAACGGCGTCCGTTGCAGGGAATACTAATAATAATAATAACGTCGAGTCTTCTTTCCCTGGTATCTTGCTTGCTTTGCTCCCCTCTTTCTCCTCTTGTTTGCTTTTTAGTCTTGTTCGTTAAAGAAGCTTGTTCGTGCCGACTCGAGATAGACCGACTGCATACCGATGCGAAGCGAGACAGCCACGCCGACAGAGAGATACGATGGACTACGGATACGCTGCACCCATGGAGAGCCCTTTTGTGATCCCACATGAGGATGTCGAGGCGCTGGGCACTTCCAAGGCCTTTTGTGCGCTGAGGAGGCATTTGGCCAGAGATGCTGAGTATGTTGTTCCCTTGCCGCGTGAAGCAAGCTTATCTATCGCGCTGCCGTATCGCTCTCCACCTCCACATCCCTGGCCCCCAGCCTCACGACAGCATCAATTCGAGGAGCCAGCACTAACAGACATGGCAGCTTCTGCGCAACACACTCGCAATGTTCTCCCCAGGCGAAGCAGACATATCTCCTCCACCGCGACATGCTCCACGCCCTCATCATGCCCGTCGTGACCCTCTTCTCCCGCGCATCAACACTGGCTTCCGCCGCACTATGCACACAGCGCGCCTCTGATCTCGAGCTCGCCTTCTCGGGCGAATCGCGCAGCGCATTCATTGGCCTCCAATGCTTCATCACCGAGGAGGCAGACTGGTGCCGCACACGTGGATGTCCTGCATGCGTCGTCACCGCAACTCTGAGCACCGACAGCCACATCCGATTGACCATTGCAGCCAGCCTGCTTAGCACAGCAAACATCGCTACCCCAACGCAAGAAGAGCCACCGCAGGACATCGAAGACAAAACCCTCCCGCCGCTGCCTCACATCCTCCCCGCGCTCCAGCACGCCGTTATCAACGATCCGTTCTGGGAAGGCTCAGAGATCTGGGGCTACATTCTCTCGCGTGCAACACAACTCTCCGCCGGCATCCAAGCCCTCATCGCCGAATGCGTAAACCTCGAGTCCCTCGTCTCATCACCTACCACCGAACGCCCCGGCTCAAAGCGTGGCTTGACACATCCCACCGTTCCTTTTGTTGTGTCAGGACAAGCAGTTCAGGAAAAGGGCGTCAAGCTCAGAAAGAGCAAGCTGGCCAAGCGCCAACTGAGACTGCGCGACGAAGAGGTGGAGCTCATGCGCAGAGTTGCCATGCAGTGCTGGGCCAAGGCTCAGGTACCCAAGCATGTCAGAGGAGAGGTGCTGGGTTTGGGCGATAGCAAGAGGACAAGGAGTCTGACCTGTCCGTAAACAACTACTTCGCATAGTCTGCAGGGAATGCGTCGATTGCGACGGTGTTACATGGCGTTTCTTGGTGTTTGGCTCGCATATGGATGATACCACAGCATACCACTTTTCTTTGGGTTAGGTCTCTGATGCCACGAGGCTGGTTGGTCTCGGGGCGGTATTGGGCATATACACGGCTTTGGGACTTTTCCTATGTTCAGCATTAGATACTACTGGGGCACAGCGTCTTCTTTAGAGCTTCTAATCATATCTACTCGTTACTGTCAAGTAGGTTTCCATTGAGGTATTTCGAGCGTATGTGACGAATCAGGACAAAAGGCGGGCATGACGTTTCGCGGATTGGCACGTGGGTGGCTTGCAGCCGCACCCTCGCACAGCCTCAGCCTTCCTTCTCATGCAACATTCCATCGCAAATCTTGAAAGTCCATCATCAACTGCAGTCTGGTGTGATGGAAGCCTGGTAGCCATAATCGCTTGTGCTCGGCACTATTATTGTATCTGGAGGATCCCAAATGTCTCCATGGTACGTACAATGCTGAGGTTGCTTCGAGTACAAGAAGGCTTACACCTTGGAGTTTTTCCGGCAAATCTAGCTCACGTTTGAATCCCCCGAAATCTCGAAAGCATGACGAAAGCCCCGTTTTCTACTCGTGTAATAAGATGGGGGCGAGCAGAAACCTACAGAGCGAAGCGAAACGGTTCTATCTATGAACCTCTTCCAGATGGCGAGTACATCCGAGTGCTCAAGCTTCGACCGGGTCGCTACGACGACATTATCGACTGCAGTCTAAGCCTCACAAACATAGAAAATTCTAAAGGCTCTTACGAGGCAATATCATACGTTTGGGGCGACTCCAAACACACCGTCGACGTATGGTGCAACGGACTGCGGGTATCAATTACCGTCAGCCTTGCGGATGCTCTTCGGAACTTTCGACACCCTTCCGAGCCTCGACTACTTTGGGCGGATGCCCTGTGTATCAACCAGAAAGACGACCAAGAAAAGGGACATCAGGTCAAGAGAATGGGTGAAGTGTACGCCAACGCGAAGTGTGTACTGGTCTGGCTCGGATGTGATGTCAACAATGTCGCCGCAGATACGTTCGCTCTGATTTGCGAGGCCAACGCCTATTTTGGGGACTCTTTGGTGAAGGCGGGCAAGAAAGTCTCCAGAATGGACCTATTCGAGAAACCCTATCCTATCAGCATGGACCCGGACAGATGGTCAGGGGTCGTCAACCTCTTCAAGTTTCCATGGTTCAAACGAGTATGGACTGTTCAGGAAGTCGCTGTCGCCGCCGAATGTCGCATGTTCTGGGGCCCAGCCAGCGTCGACATAGCCGATGTACTGGAGATATGTGTGTGGCTTAGTAGAAAACCAGACTTGTACCCCACCGTTCGAGAAATTGTTGGGAGCATTCAACATTGTTGTGGCCGCGGACTGGCACTTTACTTTCACTATAATACCCACCGGCCAGTATCATGGCAACAATCTCGAGCTGGATTAGCTTATGCAGCCATTAGGTACAAAGAACAGACTCTATGTGGAATCCTTGCCGCCTCTCGAACTCTACAGGCTACAGATCCTAGAGATCACGTCTACGCATTCTTGGGCTGTCCAGTCGCCAAGGACGGAAAGGGTCGAACGTTGGTAGACGCAGATTACACGTCCTCGATACACATCCTAAATATTCGTCTCGCCTACGCGCTGATGAAAAACCCCACAGAAGGACCATCTCTACTCTCAGCCGTTCGTCACAAGAGTAGAGAGGATCTTCTGAACAGTGGTTATCCATCGTGGGTACCAGCATGGCATATTAATCCAGGGCGTTACATTCGAGTGATGGATCCAAAATACTGGTACAGCGCGAGTGGGACTACGAAGTTCTTTGCAACCATTAGCCCTGACGAAGAAGACTTCTTGACGGTCGGAAGTTTCATATTTGACAAAGTCGTCTGGAGTTCCAACACGATACAGGTTGATGGAACAGGCTTGAGCTACACACATCCGAACCCAACGGCCTACGAATCAGACGAGTTGCCCATCGATACCTTATTGAATCATGTATTTCAAACAGCGACTGGATTGGGACTTGCAATACGTCGAGAAGACATTGTTCATACATTGGGGTTGGGCTATCCGGCACAAAGTTCTAGTCGTTCTGTTTCTTTTAGACGTCAAGAAGAGGAACTGGAAGCATACAGAAGAAAGATCCGCCTAGCCCGCTCGAGTGGTGTGGAGATGGCGAAGTGGATGGTAAAAGACAAGAAACGTGCACTAGACTTCGAACGGAATCTGAGAACATGCGACGGCTCAAAGATATTTTTGACAGAAAACGGGCGATTAGGGATGATACCGCACGGTGAACTAGTCAAGGTTGGCGATGTATGTTGTATCATTTTTGGTGCAATCGTCCCTTTTCTTCTTACATCAGCGAAAGAGGGCCGGCACAAGCTCGTAAGCGGTTGCTATATACACGGCGCAATGGATGGGGCAGTCGTACAACAGTTCGCTGGGAGCGACCTCAGTGACTGTCGCATCATTATCGAATATGTTCTCATACAGCATTGTTCACCTGTTTCTTTGTTCTCAGACGGTCTTGATGTTATCATGCGACGCGGTGTATCTCGATGTGATTGTGAGTAACACGAAACCCTCAAAAGGTTTCTGAAGCATACAACAACACGTATCGCAGTACTCTGTGTTCGTCATCACGGCTTAGGATGTTCTTTACCTAGATCTGATACCTAAAGTCTGGTTCGCGATCTGTGTATTGCTTTCCAGCAGGCATACTATACCCTCGTGCAAGTTTAGCATCCTTTCTCTTCTCTCTCCTTTTATAGATCGCCCTGATAATCCACCATCCGCACCACGCAAAAGCCAAACAGCCCAGACTCCACGCATGGCCCAAAGTGTACTTGGGCGCTGCGTTGCTCTGGTAGATCTGGCCGGATACAACACCGCCGATGTTGGTGAGGGTAAGGAGGATTCCTAGAGACGCGGCGCGTTTGCCATGGGGCGCGCAATTTGCAGATAACCAGGTGATATTCCCGCCGGTGCAGAGGAAACAGGCAGTGGCAATAAGATAAGTAGCGAAGTATTGTACGTACGGGCTGACAGGGGATAGTAGGATGGCGTACCCGGTAATACCTATAGGCGCCATCAGGATCAGTGGTAGGAACCGAGTCTGGTAGCGATCAGACAGATATGCGCCGATCGCATAGACGATTGCTCCCCAGACGTTGACAGGAATGACGAGATATTGCGCCTAACCATGTGAGCGTTGTGTTGAAAGATACAAGGCACTTAAGCATACCTGTTTCGTAGAAAAATTGAACCCATTCCTGATGATGATGGGCAAGAACGTACCAAACCCATACAAAATCGTCACGACTGCGATCTGGATGAGACCATGAACCCAGCTCTTGATGTCCTTCGCTGCCTCCTTGATATCAGCCTTTCCATAATGCCCAGAGCCCTCAGAGTCGGAGTATGCTTGTGTCCGATGTGCGCGCTGGCGCATCAGTGTCTTCTCTTCGTCGTTGAGGAAATACGCGGTCTCGAAAGATTTTGGTACAAGGAAGATGCAACAAAATGCCCATATTACTGTAATGATGCCCTCGATGACATATAGCCTGAATGCCTGTTAGTTGGATAGAACCTCCAAAAGGTATGATGCCTGGGACTTACCACCTCCATCCCGACCACCCAGCGACTCCGTTCATGTAGAGGATGCCAAATGCGATAAGGCCACCAAAAGCTCCTGAGAGTGCTGATGCTATGAAAAGATACGCGATCCTAATACCAAGCTCCTCTCTCGTGTACCAGTTGCATAGAAATAGCGTCATTGCTGGAAACAAGCATCCTTCGAAGAAACCTAGGAAGATTCGCGTGGTGACTAGGCCGGCGAAGTTTTGCACAAAGCCTGTGCAAAGACATGTAATACCCCAACAGAAAGTGATCGTGGGGATGACTCGGTTGAACTGTAGGCGCTTAACGAGGAGCGAAGTTGGAAACTGTATATGATCAGATATGCTGAGCTGAAGGTGTCAGATGCAGAACATACTTCAGCGAGAATGTAGAAGATGTAGAATACTGATACAGTAGTCTATGATTTTGTCAGTCTTGATACATATTCCATTTTCCTTGCTAGTGTCTTATCGTACGTTCAGTTCGCTTCCCTTCAGCCCAATATCGGTCGTCATACCCTGCGTCGCAGCAAATCCAATGTTCCCACGATCCAGATAGCTGATGAGCATCAGCATCATCATGACTGGCGCAACAAAGCAATCCAGTTTCCGCCGCAGCGCATCCTCCTTTTTCTTGTTCTCGATCGTTTCTACACTTTCATCTTGCTCAAGATATTCGCGCTGCACTTCTTCATGCTTCTCGTCGGTTACTGAACGCTGAAGATCTGTTGTCGCCATGTCGAGGAGAGATTGAGAGTGAAGGTGAACTAGTGGGTATACAGGAACAGGGCAATTTACAAAGCTCCATTCGATGTCAGATCCAAGTCCTTACTTGCATTATGCATAATTGACCATGAAGCGCATTTCCGGCACATAGGTGCGCCATGCGCTTTCCTGCGTCCATTACCCGAGTTCATCGTTCACGCCTGGCTAGCTCTTCTCCAACTTCCATGGGTACTCCATCATCTCCTTCTATACGCAGGAGGCCTAAAGTCCTGAATGCATGAGGGAACTGCATATCGACGTCGGTGGCGAGGTTCAAGGTATTAGCCGGCTCCCAATCTATGAACGTTGCGGAGGTGGAGAACCATGTGGTTCTCCAAAGCGGGGTGAAATGCGGGGCTGGGCTTGGGGAAGCATCGCGCCTCTTAGAACGAGAGCTTTGAGCTTGACAAGATCATCTGCGGTGGAACATACTTGGTGTACCATGTTTGTGGGGACGTTGGTTTTCGTGTGCTTGTCGTAGCTGCGACTCCAAAATAAACATTACGCTACTCAGCACGTCGTTCACACCAAGGTCTGTTTACGAGAACCTTAGAGACCACCTGCGAAAGACACTCTCATATTTCATAAGAAATAAGCAGCACATGTACAGAAATCGAAAAAGCGAACTGATTCTGTAAACCATGTCTTCACCAAGCAAGACTGTGGCCTTCATTGGTGTGTTTCTTCCAGGCTATCTCGTCATCTCCTCTGACACTGAAGAACCACAGGTCTCGGTGTAATGGGATATCCCATGGCCCTCAACCTTCGCAAAGGTCTCGACTCTTCCCACACCCTCCTGATCTGCGACGTATCCACTTCCGCCCTTGAGAAATTCCAATCAGACGCCTCAGGCCAAGGCCCAGTGGAAATAGTGCAAAGCGGATATGATGCAGTACAAAAAGCAGACACCGTCATAACGATGCTTCCGGATTCGAATGCCGTGAAGAAGGTGTATCTTGATAAGGAAACAGGAGTGGTTGCTGGTGCGGAGAGACAACTAGAAGGCGGAGAGGGAAAGCTGATCATGGAGTGTGGTACTATCGAAACAGCAACAATTCTCGAGGTCGCGAAGATAGTAGAGAGTTCCAGCGCAAGCAAGATGTTGACCTTTGTAGATGCGCCTGTTTCAGGTGGACCGATGGGTGCGCAGGATGGCACGCTAGCCTTCATGGCCGGCGCAAACAACAAGGACATCTTCCCTACCGTGAAGCGATATCTGAGTCATATGGGCAAACCAGATGCGATATTTCTCTGTGGAGACATTGGAGCAGGCACAGCCTTCAAGGTCATTAACAACTACCTCAGCGCCATCACATCGCTCGCCGCTTCCGAGGCATTGAACATTGGTTCAAAGATGGGCTTGGACGTCGCTCTGCTTACGGATGTGATCAATGTCTCTGGCGGCCAATGTTGGGTCACTAGCAAAAGTAACCCAGTACCCGGTATACAAGCAAACGTACCAAGCTCGAGGGGATATGAAGGCGGATTTCGCATTGAGCTCTGTGCAAAGGTACTAGGCATGGGTAGTCAACTTGCCGAGATGGTGGGAGCGCGCACTATACTGGACAAGCCGACGTTAGAGGCATTTGGCGAAGCGATGCAAGATGAAAGGTACAAAGGGAAAGACGCAAGGGTGGTATATAAATGGTTGAATGAGAGTGAGCGAAAGTGAAGCTTGAATCGTATGATATTCGGTTCCGTCAGATGTATGCTGGATCGGAAATATCATATGACTTGTTCTTGTCAACAGACAGGATAGCCTGATATGCCTCAAGGTTTCTTGTACCAATGCGTACCATATCAAAAGCCCTTGAGGTTTGCTAAGCACTTTATGGTGACATTTAAGGCCAGTTGACATGCACTTTGAAGTATGTTGTTTAATTCCTCTTGCTTCGTTATTTCGCTACAATGGTAAGGTGTAAACCACTTTTAAAGGCGAAAATATAAGAACATCAAGTCATAGCAGCATTA